CCGCTGGCAGCCCGGCCGTGCCAGGGCCGCGGGGCCACCGGGCTCGGCGTCACCCAAGGACGCTGCTGAGGGGCTTCGGGCTCCCGGCACGCCGAGGCCGGGGGCTGCCGCCGGCACCCTGCCTGGGACTCTGCTGCTCGGCTGGAAGGCCACCTCCGCTCCAAACCTCAGTGCAGCACAAATAACGAAATAAACTCCCCGTACGCCCCAAACTGTCTCTAGGGAAGGCGCTGAGCAGCGCGGATCTCGGCTGGCCTCCCGGCGCCAATCTCCGGCTTTCCATCAGCTCTCTACGGACAATTCCCTCGACTGCGGAAAGAAAGCTCAGCTCTGCTTTGTGCGTGAGTTTAGACACCGTGAAGAGACAAAAAGCCTACAAGGAAACAGGGGGTTGTAGCTGCAGCGGCTGAAAGCTTGCACCAGAAATGTTACACCATTTAACTGAAACAGAATTAATTGATGAGTTTATATAGAAAGAGGTAGCTTTACCCTAGGAGCTAAATGCCTAAAGGGCTTATTTTTCTTCTCTCTCTCTTTCAGATCTGTAGAAATACAAAGCAGTTGTGGGTTTCCAGAACAGCACCTGAAAAACTCAGTTTTGCATCTAAAATTCTGCTTCACATGATACATTTGGCACATTTGGCTGTTGATTAAAGATAAACAAACAAGCAAACAAACAAACAAACAGAACCCCTTCGCGAAGCACCCTCTAACCCAGGTTCTTGGCTGCGTTAGCCGGAGCCCCAAACTGGACCGTGGTGACACTTCAGCTGCTTCTGGCTCGAGCGGACGTGAGCTGAGGTTCAGCTCTGAGGGCACCAGAGGTGGCAGCAGAGGTGGGAGGTCGAGATCTGGGTGTGACTACGTGCAATGAGGAATGACACAAGCCCGATGAGGCTGGATGGCCACGGCCGGTCACAGGACAAGGGGACACTGCACAAGGATGCCATCTCAACACAGGGTTACACGGTGCACATTTAACGCGTGAGTCACCCTGAAGCGCATGAGTTCAGCCTCTGCTACCAATGCGGTTCTTCGGCTGGCATTTGCCTCGCTAGCTATGACTCACTGGATCACTAATCAGAAACGTACACCTCTTCGTTAGCGTCAGCTTTATTGTGGTAATGGATGTCACACAATGAATCCATCTCAGCGTTCAGCGGCAGCTCTGAGCTGCGGGGTCCTCGCACCGCTCCTGCCGGGCATCTGCTGCCGCGTGAGCTCTGTCCGGGGGCGGCCGGGGACGTTCCAGCCAGAGAGACGCCAAGACGTCTGGTCGCTCTCCTG